CCCACTCTCGTGAGAAACAGCGAAGAGAATATCATATTTTTTTGTATACTTTCCACAGAGTCACGCTATAAATTACAGACGATGCGACAGGCACTCGAGAAGTGGTTTTGTGATTTCCAAAAAGCAGAAAATGTGTGATCTCCGCGAAGAACCATCTCATGAAAGAGAACTGGGCGAACCAGACAATAATAAAGTGAGTTCCCTTTCAGAATTTCCATGAGTCCCTTGATACACAGTGGCATTGTGAAAGGATCCCCCATTCAAAAATTTTGACTTGACCAAAAAAAAAGGGGACCACTCGACTGTCCCGAATTCATGAATGGACGCCCTCCTCTTCTTCTTCATCTTCATATAATATTCTTTCAGTAACATTTTCAACCCCTCTCCACTTCACTCTTATAAACTTTCTTCGTCTCTCAACATTTTGCCTTCTATCTTTATCACTCCTAAGCATGATCCTCCTCTTTTTTTTTTTTTTTTTTTTTTTTTTTTTGACGACTTTTTTATGAAATAAAAATGTCTACCGTTTCTATATAAAGATATTAACTCTCGCTTTTATAGATTTGTCGAAAAAAAAAGGGAGTTGCATTCAAACGACATTTATACTCGATAAATGTATAAGCGTGTTATGTAGGCTATAGGGATTTCAGTGTCAAATTCATAATAGCATGAAAAGCGCACTCATCTGAAATGAATTCTTGATTTTCAAGACTCGTGTCTCTCAATAAACGAGAGGAATGAAAGTGGTAGAAGATATATACAATTTGATTTTCTCATAAAAGAAACTTTATCACCTTATATATATATATATCTTAGATTACAGTTTTGTTCGCGCTCTGATTTCTGTCAACTCTTTCACCGCATTGATATATCCGCTTGGAACTGCAGGAGACTTAATTGAAATTTCAGACCACACTTTACTCTCTCTTTTGTAGAAGGGAAAAAAAAACCTCACAGCATGCTTTAGAATTTAATTTTTTTTTCCTGAAAAAAAAAATATATTTCTTTTATGAACATTTATATATATATATATATATATATATATATATTTGTATTCGACAATAGTTGAGAAGTAACAATAAATAATAATTGTACATTTCTATTGTTGGAAATGTATTTTGAAATCAGTATAAAGATATTTGTATTTTCAAGAAAATATGAGTGTATATTTTTTTCTCATCAAAAGTAATTTAATATTGAATATCAGTATTTGGTAATAGTTCGATTATTTGAATAAAATATCTTTTTAAAGATTTTAAATAAGATATAGTATAATGAACCAGCACTTGTTGACATTACTTATCAGTGTAGTACAAAACTAATAATTTCCCCTTTTCGTAAAAAAATTTTCTAATAATATGTTTTCATTTCCTGTGATTTTAATCAGATAGAAATGTGGGTGCATATCACAAAAGATGATTTTAGTATTAGAGCGAATAATGTTGATTATATATATATATATATATACTCGGTACTGTATACCGATATTTACTACACACCTATTGTATATATACTCACACTTGTATAACGAACGTTATGCACCGTCTGAAGTAATCTCCAATCTGTATCCTCGCGTGCTTTCTGCCACGCGCATTATCGTGATCATTAATACGCATCGCAAGGGATTTATCGGCTGATAATTAATTTCAATTGCGTAACTGTTGTTAATCGCTCATTAAGACCCGCTAAAAGCGTCGCGTACTTAATTTTACAGATTTTTTTTTCTTTAACCTTCTCTTTTATATATATATATATACATTATACATTTAGTAGTTCTCGACAATCTCAATAATAATAATTATTTTGTGATGTAGATAACAAGAAAGTGAAAAAAGGAAAAAGTATTTTTACAGATTACAACACTTTTGATATACATACATATAAACACAAAATAATAGTATGAATATTATCCTGTTGTTGTTTTATCTTTACACTCATAGGGATAATAAACGCGTCGCGGTTATAAACAAGTACTGATTATTATTATACTTGAAGAAAATTAATTATTATATTATGAGAATTAATTATTACGCGTATTATAATAGAAATTAAAGGACTGTTTAGAGTGCGTTAAAATTTAAGAAACATATATATATTCTCTAAAGTGAGAATTAATCGTTCACTTATTTAAATTAGTAAACATTTTCTACTAATTTTTAGTTATTTTTCACTAAAACTGTAATAAAAAAATATTACTTAATTAAATAGTAATATATATTTTACTAAAAATTAGTGAAAATTTCTATTTTTTTGAATTAGTTAAGGAATTATCACCAATTATTTAAATTTTCAGAGGCATGACTGAAATAACTACGTCGAACATTAATGAGTTTTTTTTCAGTAATGATACATTTTTTTATATCAGTTATACTATTGTTACACTCAGGAAAAAATTTGTCTGAAACAACTAAATTTTGAATGAATTAACCAAATATAAATGTATTGTTTATGTTCTCTAAATTTGAGTTAGTTAAAAATTTTAACTAATTTAGTTTAAGTGATAGTTATAACCAAACTTTTGGTTGAATCAGCAAAAATTTAATTTAGCTCAATCAAATTCTTTCTTCTTTCGAAAAATTTATTAAAATAAACCAAACTTTTATTTAAACTTAATAAATATTTGTATGAATCAAACAAATTTTGATTAAAATAACCAAAACATTGCGTCAATACAAAAAAAAAATGGTATATTTGGTTCAAAAAATTTTTTTTTCTGATTATTATTATTAATTCCTGAAATGGATTCATTATTACAAAGTTATTTGTAAATTAATGATAATAAATTCAGGATTTGAGACGATTAGGAAGAAAATTCGTGCTAAGTGCAAATTAAAAGAGGTTTCATTCGTAGAAAATATATATTTTTATATATATTATATTATATATATATATATACGAAGAGTTAATTAATTGTAGCTGAATTTCAATATAATCTTGATAGAGAATTTATAACAATTCTGTAATTTCATATTATTTTTGCTTGTAATTCCGTTTCTTTATTATTTCGTTAAAATAAATAAAATTTACATCAAGATTTTATAAATTTTTATATATATTATATATTATATCGTTGATTCTTAATTTCGTTTAAAATTGTTATAATTATTATTTTTTACTTAAGATCACAAAAAAAGAAATTAAATATAAATTCATAGCATTATAGTATATTAATAATTTAACATAATTTAGGACAAAAATTTAAACACAGTTAATTTAAAAGTATCAAATTGATATAAAAAAAGATCAATAATTTGATATTTTTAGTATTAATTTGATACTAAATTCTTTTATTGCGATATATATAGAATACAACATTTATAATTTTGGAACACTAATAGATAGATAGTTCATCAAGATATCTCAATCCAAAATAGATTATCAGGGGGTCGATTATGTATAATTCCATTTCCACTTCCATTAGAAATAGTGGAAGTGGAAATGAGAAAAAGTGGAAGTGGGAATTAATATTAGAAAAAGTGGAAATGGAAGTGGGAGTAGAAATTAGAAAAAGTAGAAGTGGAAGTTAGAAAAAGTGGAAGTGGATGTGGAAAAGGAAGTAGGAATGGAAATTGAATTACATAATTGACCCCCAGAATCAGAAAAAAAATATTCAGAATTTCAATGATCAATATGGATATCATTGGAATATCTTATTCTATAATATATATAAATCAGTAAACTACTATGAATTTTACTTAAATATCATTAGAAAATTCTTAAAATCATCAAAATATTTAATTTTATAAGATGATCAAAAACATTAAATTAATTTTAATTTACTGCATCTGGATCATCAAAATAATCCACTCATTGTTGAGAAATATATATATATATATATATATAAAGAATTAAAACAATTTGAATCAAAATGTTTAATAAAAACTCAATTAGCGAATTTGTAACAATTCTCTAAGTATTTTCATACATATTATGTTTGCTTTTAAATCCGGTTCTATCTTTTTTTTGATTTCGTTAAATAAGAAAATTTACATCAAGATGGTATCAATTTTTATATGTTGTTGATTCTTATATGCTTTAGGTGAATATAAGCGCAGATCGCGTCTTCGAAATCTTAATGGGAATGTCGTTGGGTTAACAAGCCCAAAGATATCGTTCTCACAATTTCAAAAAAAAAAAAAAAAAAGTAGCTAGCGAGCAATTACGTAAATTAAATTTAAACACGCATTCAAATGAAGCGATATCAGAAAAATCCGGATGTTGAAGCAAAGAAAGAGGGGGGGTGGGGAAGAAGTGAGGCTTGTGTGACGAGGTTTTTAGTTGATGCAAAAGAGAGAGAAAGCTTTGGGGTATGAACATATCAACACACAGAGAGAATATATATAGACGCTAGCTTTAACCAGACGAAAAAAATTCTGAATATTTATGTTTCGTATTATTAGCGTATATATATATACGTTCTGATATCTCGGTAAGCATCGCTAATTAGCTTGCGACCGCTAGCCTTTCGGCAAACAGTGCTGGCTACTGTCTTAAGTTCCCGTAATCAAGATGGTGGCGCCAACCGCCCGGGGCGGTCGATTCCGAAACTAATTGCCTCGGCTAATTTATCCCGCGACATACGCGGACAGAGAATCCATTCTGGCCTATACCACGTAATCATATCACGAGATCTGCTTTTTCGACGCAGGAAATCGTTTACGATTAGGCGGAACGACGCGTACTCGCCGAAAAATTACCTTTTTCTTTCCCTTTAAATTATAATCGGATTTGATTTTTTTTTTACTTTTCATAACCCGCGAGGAATCTATATTTTTACCAAATTCCAAATATAGAAACAGTAAAATTTTATATTTGAACATAAAAATTAAAAAAAGAAAGTCAAAAAAAGTTTCTTCTTATCCTGATGTCGAAAATGAGAAATCATTATTGATACAGTCCATTTTGAAGAAAATGAGAAATCTTATCTAAACTTTAATTATGCAAGGAAAATGATAAACAAGAAGGATTTCTGAAAGGTAATTAAAGTAGTCCTGTTGATATATAATGAAGACATTGCAATTTATTAAATAGTCTCTTCTATCAATCTTACTTACATTTATACAAAAAAAAAAAAAAAAAAAAAAAATGAAAAGAAACCGAGTAGAACGGAGTCTACTGCGATTTTTAATTAAACATTTATCGAAACGATCACATATACATACATATATATTTACAAAATAATTTGATCATCACGAGGTGATATTATTTACAATTTATATTTACAGACTCATGGAGTGTTTTCATGGTTGACTCGCGAAGAGTGTGCCTCTATGGCGAGCATAAACAGCCAGTTCATTACACGTCCAATTAAATACAACTCTGGCAATTATTAATTAGCGCGATTACTCGCAATCTTTCTCTCTTTCTCTCTCGTTCCTGAAACCATATACTCAGTAATCTATCCTCAAGATGTGCGTACAGTTGGATCTCTTGTTTTTTACTTTACACTTTATATAAACACACAGCGCGTAGCTCGAGATTCAAGACCGCCCAGATTCTCTCTCTCTCTCTCTCTCTTGTCTACTTTTTAATTCCACATGATCATTCCCTTGTAAGGTGCTGTGGAATAGGATGATGAGACGTCAAACCAGGATGGGACAGCATTCCTACTGGATAAAGTCCTGTTGGACCAAGTAGACCATGATGCGCACCATAAAGTGCCGTGTGATGTTGAGTCACCGCTGTCATTCTCTGTTTCTCGATCTCAGCCTCCTGAAGACGTTTCGCCTTTGCTCTCCTATTTTGGAACCAAATTTTTACCTGCAAAATGAAAAAAAAATTATTATTTAATTGTCCAGTACTGTAAGAAGACTGTACTAAATTAGAGCTGATTTTGAATATCAAAATGGAACCAAATTACGATTTATTCTAATCCAAATTAAGGAAAATGAAAGAAACAAATTCATTTGAAGATTAATTATATGAGAAAAAAAGAAGAAATCAATAATTCTTTACCTGCGTTTCAGTAAGATGAAGTGAAGAGGAAAATTCCGCTCTTTCGGCAACACTGAGATAATGTTTCTCGCGGAACTTCTTCTCCAGAGCAAGGAGTTGTTGCGTCGTGAAAGGAGTCCTAGGTTTTCTGTTTGGTTTATGTTTTCTAAGATTGCACTTGATTTTCGCTGGTTCTCCGTTTTCTGTAACAAAAGAAAAAAGAAATACATGAATTTTTGTATTATAAATGGAGATGAAAAAAAAGATTGACCGCAATGTTCCGTTTTTTTTGGGTGAGAGCGGATAAACAAGAATCGTTTCTCTTTAGATCGTGCAATTCATAATTTTCCGTTTGACGAGCCCACAAGATCAGCCTTATTATATATATATATATATATATATATATATATAAATTTTTTTGCAAGACCGGGAGCAACCGCAAATTCCGGTCCGCAAATTGTTCCGTTTCAATTTTTTCCCCCGGGTATTTATCTTTTTTCAGCTATATTTGTTCTCATTACATATATGAGCACATGTACAAAATTATTTAAAAATCGGTAATTTCCATTAATTAATTTTTAAAAATAGAATTATTTTATTGTATTTAGTGAAATTAAATTATCTAATTTAAAAACAAAAAAACAAAATTATCTAATTTCATGAAGAAAAAATTATCTAATTTAAAAAAAAAAAAAAAATTATCTTATTTCATGAAGAAAAAATTATCTATAATTTTATTTTAGAAAATTGATGTTAAATGACATTTATGAAAACAATATTTAATTGTTGAAAATTTTGATTGACATTTGTAAATGATTATCTAATTTGAGCAATTATATATACATATTATTATTGTAATATTATGAAAAGGAAAAAAGTGAGGTTTACGCATCGTTATGTAAAATCTTGCTCAATGATAGTGATTATGCTTTCGAGAGAAGTTTTTTAATTTCTCAGTGTACCGATAACCCCGCGAGACAAACACACACGCACACACATACACAAGAGTCATAAGCAACAATTAACACTCTGAGAAACTTGTTTACTTTGCTCTCAAGTTGTTTACTGCCATTCAAAGCTTCTTGACAGACATATTATCGAATTTATATCTTTATAATACTCAATTAATTTGTTTAGACTTGTGCGCAAAAACATAGATCACGCCAATAGACGCATCAATCTATCTTTATATCGTAGAGATCATCAACATATCTTTTTTAATAACTTGTACAAATTGTCCTCAACATAACATTTTTGAAAGAAAGAATATATATATATATATATAATTTTAAACCTCACTTTATAATTTTTGTATTGATAATATCAAATTGAAAATTCATGATAAATGCAGTAAATGTATATATCATTTTGAACAAATTGTACAGAAAGGATCAACCTGATGATGTTAAAGCATCGTGCACAATACAATACGATCAGCATATCTGTATATAATTTATCACAAATACAAAATTAATTCAAGTTTGCTATAGGGATTCAGATGAGATGTCTAATATTCGTGAGTTCGTCAACCCTTCTCTCTTGTATAAATTCCTCAGGAAAACAAACGACTGAATAATTCCATATATTGTATGGGGCTTTCAATTGACAAGATAAGCTTTAGAGTTTCTGAAGAGGCAAGTTCGAAACACACATTTTGAAGGGAAAAGAAAAGCAACAAATGCGCGCAGGGTTAAGCGACGAATATCCAAGATTTGTCCCGAAACAATTGACAGATTTGTAGGACAGACGAGTTGGATGGGCTCTCAACAACGTCGACGTATATATACAGCAGAAATCTTATATATATATATATATATATATGTGGGTAGACAAAAGGCCATCGAACAATTTCTGAATTTCAAATTCGGCCCCGTAGCCAGATACGGACGCGCGAGAGGAAACTCGTTGCGTTGATCCTATGGCTCGCTGTTGCTTCTGGCTCTGTTTGCTTCTCTCGTGTGTCTCCTCCTTTGTATCGGATCCACCTCCGACTGGCTAAGGGTCCAATTAGTCTCGGCATTCGGAATCTTTCTTGGGGGCCACCGGGCCAAAAACGATCCGGACGGATTTTAATCCGGACTCGATCGGGAACGCATTCGAAATAATTAGCTGATTTTGCCGAGATAAGTGTCTTCCACGAAGGCAAAGATGATCGGACCGGCAAAACTCCTTTGTTCCCCCGTTGCGTAATGACGCTGCTACCGTCTTGTCGTATCCAATCTACCTCTTTAGGCCAAAGGAAAATATCAAGGGATGCACATATTTTTTTCCATCTATCAGTCTCTGTCCCTCTCTTTTTTTCTTTCTTTCTCTCTTTTCTATTTTCATTTTGAAAAATTGAATAAAATTGAAACAAGAGGAACCACAAAAAAAATGATGAAGGAATTGAAATTTCTCAATAATTGATTCGAGCATTATATTTATAATAGAGGCGGGCAACAATAATTGCTTGTAACATCAGTAATTGAAGGAAACATCAATAATTGACATCAGTAATTGGTCCAGATGCTGCATCAATAATTTATCAACCTCGAGAATTGTATTCTATAAAGTTGTCATTACATCGCAACAATTCTGATGTTCTATATATCTGCTCGATATAAATCCCCTTGTGAGATTCTATCTATCTCCAACAAACATGATCCGAACGGTAGAACCCTATATATATATATCTCATACCATACATATATTCTATATTATATAATCTATATCTGTATTATTAGATTCAATATTGTAATAGGATAATCCTATATATCAACAAAGATATTATTTTTAAAAAAGATATTTAAAGATTTAAAATTCCTCAAGATTTGTGCTCCAGATGGTGACGATGTCGAGACCCTCCTGGTGAACTTGATCATAAAAGTAGTAATTTCATTCGCATCCTTCAAGTGGCAGAGCTTTGCCAGCGTCTGCAAGAGGATCGAAATAAAAGATGGAGGCGTAAAAGTTTGAAGAACACCATAGAGTGTTTAGGGTGCTTCATCCAAAGAGGCTATATTTTAGAATTACGACGCCTCGCCCTCGCACGTATAATATACACAAGGGGTTTCTTCTTTTTTTTCGTACTCGAAGCTAAGAATATAAGATAGCGAGAAAGAGAAAGAGAGAAAAAAAGTCATAATGTGTAAGTTAAACGCCTTGTTCAGACTCTCGTTTTTTTTTCCTTCTGGCATTTTGGGATGTAGGTGATTGCCAACACAAGCGGGTTAAAAAGGAATGTAATATAAAGGAACGATAATGTAATATAAGGAATGACTTGTCGGCAGGAGACCAAAAAGATCTTCTCTTATGCCGCGCGCTATATCGAAGCGACGGTAGGCTATCATCGGCTCGCTCTCACATACAAACGATCTGTCTGCAAATTAATTTTTTTTTCCCATATAGTGAAATACTGATTTGTCTCGACAAAAATTCACTTTTATACATCAGGTTTCCTCTTCTTTTTTTTTTTAAATCGAAATCACAAATTCATTTCTTCGCATTTTATGTTTATAGCGCACGATCAGAGAGAGAGAAAAAACCGGATTTTTATAATGAAGTGAGAATTTGATCGCCCGTTTAATATTCGTGCTTCTGTCCTTTTTAATGATATAGAAACCGGGAATTGACCTCGATTTTTATCGATCAAGTTTATTGCCGTGTGTGTTATATTATGCAAGAGATAATTGAGATGATGAGAATTGTAAACTATGCGATAATTCTTTGGACTAGAGTCCTAAAATAAAACTAAAGAATGTCCTAAAAATATATATTGTTCTAAAGATGATACCAAAGGAGTGAATCAAGAATGTAACACACATGTGAAAGAATTCTCTTACCATTGAGAGGTGCATGATGAGTGAAGTGCGACGGGAAAAAGGTGGCGGCCGCTGCTGATTGATGTCCACCCCAAATCGCTGGATGTAGGCTGGACGTGATTCCAGGGATACTACCGAGGGCCGAAAATCCACCAATATAGGCGGGAGTGGGCCTCACGGGTGTGGGACTTGTGTGTTGTTGTTGAAGATCCTCAACATCGACTAAACTCGATTCATCATCATCAACAACATCGTCAACGTCTTCAATTTCCGAGCACCTTGAACGACCCTCGTCGTGCGATGAACTTCTCGGTGATTGTGATCTAAAATCTCTGATAATAATCGAATGATGCTTTGGTGAAAGTGTAACTCTTGAGTCTGGTGTTTTTAGATCCGTCGACACTGGTGATGTACTTATCCGATAGTCCAATAATCCAGATGATAAAGTACGATGCGTCGGTGATCCGGCAACAGTGAAATCCTGATCGTAGAGTTTTGAGGATGTTCCACTGTCTTTACTTTTTGGCGAATCACAATAATGTTGTGGTATTCTGGATTCGGAAAAATCCTTAAGAGAATCGGCAATACCATATCGTAGCCTAAGATCGCTGGGTGCATATTTTGATAGTGGTGAATTTCCCATTAGATGATGAACTGGAGAATACGAGGTAATGGGTGATGATCTTGGTGAAGCTGATGAATTACTGATTTTGGATGATGTGTCAGTGGTTTTTTTGGTATCAGCTAGAAGTGCAGCTACGGAGAAACTTAAATGATGTACAGGACTAGGTGAGGCTTGTGGTGCCTGTGCCTGATTTGGTGAACCTGGACTCGTTGAGGGCGGTGTCACCGGTGATGTCATTCTTAAGACTGTCATTCTTGAGATTTAAGGGAAAATTTCTCTCTAACTTTTACGATAAAGACAAACAAATTCCTTTTGATATTCTAAACGTTCATATTAACATAATACACTAAACTCTGGTTGAAATTTCGAAAAGTCAATTAAGACTTGGAAAAATTAAAACCCCCGGAAAAATAGTCACAAACTTTCAAAATAGAATGAAATTTTTGGACAATTGAGAGATAATTATTGTTTGATGATCTTGTCACTTAACACAAATTTATCAACGACACTTATAAAGATCACTGAAAATTTTTGTTGACAAGGTGGAAAAATTCTTGACAGAGCTTTGACTAAAGAACCTCTTACCAAGTCGAGATCTCGGAGTAGACTGGCTGGCAGTGATGTCCGTGTGGAGGGAAAGGTTTTTTTTTTCGTTTTGAATTAGTGTTTCATGGTAGGGATCGTGGATGGAAAGAGGTTGAATCGGAGGCGGGCTTTCACTGAAGAGGGCGTGGATCATCAGCTGCCGCCTCTGAAATTGCTTGCAACTGGAGGGGAAACGGGTTAGTTGGTATATATATTTTTGCGGCAAAGGATAAGGTCCCCTCGAATGCAAATGCGACCTGATGGTTGCAGAATGGGGATTGCTTCAAGGGGTAAGAGAAAGAGAGTGAGAGAGAGAGAGAGTGAGAAGGGGAAAGAGAAAGAGAGATCTAATCGACGCTTGCCTTCCTAAGTTGGCGACGGTAATGAGTGTAATTGACCAATTAGGTTCGTTGATTACGTGCGCTCCAAAAACATTTTTACTCCACCAACACTTATCGATATTTATATTCCAGATCGAAAGTCGATATCAATTCTTAACTTATTCCCGTTACACTTGCCTTGGAATCGTGAGAGTTTCTTCATTTTCTCAAAAATTTATACTTTTTTTTATCCTTTAGTTGGTTTTTTTTTTTTCACAAAATTATAATAACATCTATTTTACTCTGCATTTTTCTTCTTAAAAAAGTAAAATTTTTTGACTTTAGATTTAATAAACCAATACAAATATATTACAATAAATAAATCTGTTTGTTTGAATTGTAATTTGTGATAAAATAATTAATGTACAAGAGAAAAAGACTATTGGAAAATTGATTTCTTTTTTTTTTTTGTGTGGAATTTATATGGAGAAGCTTTGGTACAGATTGTTTTATATGATTTTGACATGGAAAATCCTTTCTGCGCGTTTCGAGGTTGTCATGTTTACAGTATCCTGTAACCAGTAGCAGTTTTGTGATAAGCAAAAATAAATGAGTGCCGATAGTGGATTTTTGATAAAACTTTTCAAATATAAAAGCCCTCGGACGTTCTTTCATTTTCGCGAATCCGTTTTGATTGTGAATCTCATCCAATGCCCGTCGATGATTCGACGTGAAAGAAATTTACTGTCTCTGTGTTAATATCGTTTGTATAACAATGTCAATATAAACCGATAACGGCGTTCCATTATATTTCTTTTTTATTCTTTCATTGGCCGAAAAGAAATAAGCCGTTTGTAAAATCCAATTTTACAAATACATATATATATATATATATATATATTGAGACAAAAAAAACGAAATAAAGAATGAATAAATAGAAATAGAAGTATATATATATATAAATAAATTAGAATCATGAGAAGGAAATTTAAAAATAATTAACTACCCAAAATAAAGAGAATGGAAGGTTTCTTTAAGGGGTCAAATTTTATCTCAAGAAGAAGAAGAAGAAGAATAATAATGGTAAAGTCGTAATAAAAGGGGTACGCGATCAGAGGTTAAGAGTTGCGCGCTCATGGTTCCCGATACGAGGAGATGCCATATAGTATAGGTTAGGGTATCGTTATTAAGTATCGTCTTACGAATAATTACGGAGGACACGAGCGAGATAAGTAGATGCTTTTTCAACTGTAGCTAGAGTGGGATGATCCAATTTGGATGGTTACCAAGGCAAACGATACGTTAAATAGATAGGACGAGTAACCAGCAACCCAACATAATGAGGACCACCCGCCAGACCCATAAGACCACTGTTGTGCGAACATACACGGTGTCAATTTTCACTTTATATAAAAAAAAACTATTTATTATTTATATAAGACAATGTAGAAAAATGAAAGGAAGAACAATTTTTTATTAGTCCATAAAATTTCAGTAAGATTTATACTGAAATTCAGTCATATATTTTCTGAAAATTTGAATTCTTTACACGGAGAGAAAGGTTTCAGTCCATACGACTATAAACACACGTTTAGTAAAATCTTTAAAGGGCATTTACTATACGCAGACAGTATCGCCAACGAGATGATGAGTATATAGGATATTTACAACGCCCGTTTAGTAAGATTGTCGGTAAGGCAGAATATACTATTGTAATTCCTATCTTATACCATATTGTCGTTTAGTAAATCCTACTACCAGTTCAGTTCGTCCAAAACTAACGATTCTGTTTAGATTTAACTGCCATGATATATAGTAAAACTGACTTAACATTTCTCTCCGTGTATTGATTGTAACAGTCAGATCTGTTTTACCTATTAATGGTAAAGCAGATAATTTATAAATAAAAATACAAAAAAATACAACTCTCATATGCCTAAAAATGACGAAACCAGACCGATTTTAATATGATTTCTAAAGTTTATTATTTCTCCCTTATCTATTCGACTAATAATATTTAAGAAAAAAAATGAAAATTATAATCTCAAATTGTATAGAAAATTGTGAAAAGGAAAAGTTGGTTTGAAGTTAAGCCGCTATCTATATGGTCAAACAATATAGTTTTGTCTACCATTATATGAGACGCTAATTGAAAGTTAAGAAGCAATGAAGTTATTCAAACAGTCAAAGTTAACTTAGGACCGTGCGAGTGAGTTATTAGATACGAATTTTTGAAGAATTGATTTTTAAGTGTTGGTAAATTTTTGTCAAATGTTTACGTCTCTAATTATCAATAAAGCGAGACTAAGATAAGTGTTTGCTTTCAATTTTTTTTTGTCTTGCTATCTGTGTCTGAACATATATATATATATATATATATATATATATATATGTATATGAGCTATTCGATTAGTCTCTTTATACCTCATTATTTAGATAGTTATATTCGTGTGCAGTTGGTGAGATTCAGGTTTACACAGTTAAGATCATAACTCAACGCTCGTGTTGACTTTTCTCGCTGCCAACGGATATCCACCGTGTAATTAGCTCCTCTTTGGAGTATCTATACACAGGTCCTAAAGTGAACGTAACTCTACCGAACAAATAGACGAGCTATTATAATTATAATGAGTAACACAAACCACTTTTGTCTGTGAATATATTTTTCTTTTTTTTCATGTATTTTGAATTATTATATTATCTTTTTGGCTTTTCGAAAAAATATAGAGATACCTATATATGTTAATGGATTTTCGTGGAAAAAAACAAAGAAATGATTAGGTTGAAAACGCGTTTTAAGTTATTATGCACACACAGAGAAAAAATATATAATAAACTCAGAGCGAAATAAATATTTATTTATAATTTTATATGGATTCTATTTGATTTAAATAAAAAAAAATTTTATTATTGCGCTAAATAAAAATTTTTTTTTGATGAAATAAAATTTTATTTTTACTCACAATCAGTAACATTTTTATTTGAGCCAAATAATATATTTTTCTTTTAAAATATAAAAAAGTTATATTTATAAATATATTGTTATTTAATTCAAGTATAAATTACTATATATTTGGTTTAAATGACAAATTTCAATTGTATAATTATTAGAGTGATTTTATACCACGTGCGAGATTTCTATATGCCATGAAAAAAAAATTCTTTCTTTTTATGACTTATTATTTTATAATTAGGGGCATTACAAGTGAAAGTCAAGGTCGACATTTGGGATTTATTTTCTTATTATTTGTAAAATTGTACTAAGTTTTGTACCTAAGTTGATCAGCTAAACAGCCTTTTAAGAATTTTTAATTACACTACAAAAAAAATTTATTTGATTCAATCAATTGGTTACTTGACTATTATCAAATAAATATTTATTTGTATCAAATAATCATTATTTGAGTCAATTAAATGGTATTTGTTTCAAATACAGAAATTATTGTTTCAAATACAGTATATTTATTTCAAATAAAAATTATTTGGTTCAAGTAAATATTTATTTGATAATAGTCAAATAACCAATTATTTGAATCAAATAAATTTTTTTTCTCTGTACATTGATATTATTAACAATTGAACATTTGTGAAATTTTTTTTTTATAAATAAAAGATTAATAATAATTATAATTATAAAGATGAAAATTTTTATGTAAAAAGAAAAAATTTAAATTTTTGACTTATGTATTAATATGTTCTTCATATTTATATTATATAGATTTATTAGATTTTGTTCTGTGTTTGTTATTTGTAGAATTTGTTTTTTTTTTATTTGTTGCAGATTTTGGAATTTCCATTAATCGTTCGCGAGAGCGTCATTCTTGTGAGTCGGGATGAACATTTATCAGAGACACCCTATAAGTAAGTACCATATTTGAAATACTTTTACATACGAAGGTTTAGGCCACGTTTGTCCGTTAATTATTAGCAAGACGCTATATTGAGCATGAGAACGTTATACATATATACATATATATTTCTTTCGGCCTGTGGGGAAATGAGACGAAATTCAAGTCAAATTGGCGTTAAAATTGCAATCACGGTGGTCCTATTTCCTTCTCACTCACGCCATATATACACTACATACATATTATATATATGTTTCTCTCGTTTTCGGTCGTTGTCGACCACGGAATTAGCTCGTCTATTCTCAGCGAACTTCACTCGTCTATATACCCAAACGATGACTCTTGTGCCTCTCTCTCTCTGTCGTCTCCCATAAACAAACGACGGTCAATTATAATACGTATACAGTTTGCAAATTTTTTTTTCAATTTTAGTTTGAAATAATATTGAGTTTTGTAAACTATCGTAGGGAAAATTAATAGTTTTTTGTGGTTAAAAAAATCAAAGTTATTTGACAAAATAATAATAATATGGTAATTAACATTGGTAAACCTTCGCTGGTCCGGAGATTTTTATGCACACTATAATACCCACCCAGGGTGAACAAAATTTTTCTAACACACGCACCGAAAGAACATCATTTCTTACCTGTATAGCGTGTGGAAAGTAAGTCATCATTTCCTCCCTGTTGTCAGAAAAACTAGTAATGTTTTTAATACACGGAGAAAAGAGGGATTGTTGTGCAAATAATTTTTTGATTGTTGTGAGTAGATTTGTTGATATTACAATTCGAAATATTAATATTACAATTCGGATTGTTGTCAATACATAAATGTATGTTTTTCTAACAACAATATGAATTTTTTGTTGTCAGTTTTGT